TTTCACATTTTCGGTGTAGGAATCATTCAGCAAATGAATTCATCTGTTTATTGATTACAGAAATTCATCATTGTTCAGAAAATCGTCAGAAACTCGAAACAAGTCATCTTCAGTTGTCTCATAAGATGCCTTTGCCAGCTGATAGTTGATAACAGTTGTGTTAACTGTTTTAAACATCATATGTCGTAGACAAGGAATAATGCAACCCGTAAAAAGACAGAACAGAACTAAAACAATCAGAACAGGTGTCACGAGTTTTAACAGCAAAGCCCACCATGGTCCAGATGTAAACCATGAAAGCAAATCAAAAGAGGATGAGCCGCGTGTTCCACTCTCCACATACTGTTTTAAATCTTCCAGCTCGTATAGAGCGTCAGAAATAGTTCCTCCAGTTCCTGTTTCATCAGGCACAAAAGTACAGCATGTCGGGCCAATGATTTTGCAGACCCCTCCCTGAGGGGCAGTGAGAAAGTCCAGGACAACACGGTTTTGCATAACCATGTTTCTCAGTTCAGTCAGTTCTTTCATGGTGCCATTGGCCAGCTGGTATGTGATGTTGATTAGTCGCAGTAATCCGTACCTGTTTATCTCAACGTGGTCCCGAATCTCTCCTAGACCAACCCATGGAAACAGGCTTTGCATGAATTTTTCTCCGCCGTTCCAAATCCTGAATTCCCATGGAACTCCAGTATGTGTTGTTAGGCCTCCCCATCTTTTGACCTCTGGCATAGCTGTTCGCTTGGAGCGGGTGCGTAGATCATTTTGTGCTTTCCTGATGAACGCAATCGGGTTGATCAAAGGAACCACAGCACACAGTCCTCCCCAATTTTTCAGCAGGAACATGTACGCTTCATTCCCGCATATGAAGTACCAGTCTGCCAACATCTGTGAGCCATAATCTCCTGGCACTATGGCGCTGCACAGTGTTGTCTCTTGTCTCCTTTTTGTCTTATGCGTGATGTTGAAACTCCTCTCCTGAAGCAGGTTGTCACAGTCTGGGTTATCCTTCCAGACTTTGCAGCCGGGGGTTGCCCTCTGACCCCTGCAGGCGATGCAATCGATGTAATCCGGTGTCGTGTCGCAGTAGGTGTAAACTTTGTTACACAAGTTCCAGGGCACCGTCCCAAGAGAAACGTGTCCGTTGTTGTAAACACAGCTCCTCAGAGATCCTGGTTTAGCTCCTGTTAATGAAATGGTCTCTGGTATTTTCCATACGGTTTGTGGAAACGGTGGAAACGGAAGTATGCCATCCTCAAATGAACAGTTCATAGATCCAAAAAGTCCTTTTGCGGCATCTCCTGTCCGAAGTAGAATAGAATAATCCTTTTTGCACCATTTGCATCCCTTTGGCATGGGGACGCTGAGTCGTGGTTGTGTGCTCAGGCCATAGAGACACATCGGTTTGTCATCAGTGATGCTCCCTGGGTGCAGACCTGAGTTGTGTGTGGCGAATGGCAGCTGCGCACACACATAGCAGTTCACCTCGTTCTCCTCGTGAGCAGTCCTGTTCATCAGCTGCCACTACAGGTTGGTTCTGTAGTCATGTGGGTGGAACTCAGACATGCTGCAGTCACAGTGCAGTAGAAGGTCCATCTGGCATATGGAGTCTCCATTGCTGCTCGGCACAGAGATGTTAGAACCCCCAAACTAAAGAGTTAGGATCTGTCGAGTTTCTTCACTGGCGTTGAGACGAACCACCCTAAAAAAAATGGAACCCCTTTGAAGCCAGCCTTCCCCCCACTCGGGATTAGGGATCCAACACTCTCTGCAGCTTGCAGTGACTGAGATGTATCCAGCTGGGTCTTTCAGCAATCTTTACAGCTGTTGGTGTGGTCATCAGCACCTGGAACGGTCCTTTCCACCGTGGACTCGCTCAGTTCTTTCGTTTGATGACCTTTATGTAGACCCAGT